AGCTAACTCTGCAATGAACAAAAATTAGTACAGCAATCGATTATACTCGCTCCACTGATGTGAATTAAGGGTGATTTCATTGAAATCAGTGAATGTAAGAGGTTTACTTTTCCTTAAATGAAATACAAGTCAGACCCACTAATATTTATTTCAGACTAGCTTATGAAAGTATGAACAAACCCAACAATTATCAAACACAAGCTGTAACCTTTTATCATTCTTTAGTCGGCAGATAAGTTGGCAGATGAGTCATAGTAAAGTATCATTTATTTAAAAAGAAAGAGAATAACAAATCATAGAGGCTTTTCATTTTACTGGCTTTATTTACTATTTATTTACCACATACTATTTTCTTAGTCTTGTAAGTTTTTGACAACTATGGTATCCTAGTCTGATTTGCATTGATGGAAAACAGAAAAGAAAGAGACCACTTGCCATATAGAAAATAATTATTACACTAATAATATATTTAAAATATGCTAAAAATAGGGTTTAGGAATGCTAAATATTCTGCAGATAGATGGTACTATGTGTACATCCTCTGTATGCTTTGGATATTTTTTTAATAAAAGTCTATTTCTTATGATTAGATTTTTCAATTAATGACCTGGAAATATACTCACTGAAGCTCAGACTCTCTTGCATGTATTATGGCATTTAAACTAAAAAGGCAAGAAATCAATTTAGTTGTTTGTGCTGTAATTGACCGAATAACAAATGTGACACAGGATATTGAAAGGTCAAAATGAGAAACATGCCCAGAACATTTATTTGCAAATAATTTTCACCAGTTTTTAATCAAAATTTAGTTAATAATTGAATTATACATTTTATTTCATATGTGAAATAATTTTTGTTATCTGGGCACATCTTTGCAGTTCTGTTAAAATTACTGTATCTATTACACACAATACTGCATTTAAAAATCTAATTCACTTCTCAAATCACAGATTCTGGAAAGGTGTGGCGTGGAAGGAATAAAATGGTGGTCTTCCTAGTAATAAGCTACGATTGTGATGAAGGCTAATGTTTTGGCAAGCAGCTGTTTCATCTGCTTTCAGTGTCTGGACCATCCCATGTCAGGCAGCTGGGGCAGCTGGGGAGGCTTCCCGTGTCACTCGGTGCCCTGCACCTGCTGCTGCCAGGCACTGCAGAAGCAGCCTGAGCACACAGAGAGCAAGGCTGGTGCACCTCTGCTTCCAGCTCTCTGGTCTCCCCTGCTCCTGGCTTGCAGGGAGAATTCCCAAGAGATTTTTCTGCTTCAAATGTTTAAATGTCTGTCGGTCTGTGACCCCATCTCCCGAATGGCCAGGGGCCTCTGCTGTGATTCAGGGTAGAGGAGAGTAATTGCCCAGCACAGTAAGGAGCCCATCCACCCTGTGCCCTCTGTGCCTGCAGCACAGGCTCCAGAGAAAGGCACTGTTTCCCTGGCCTCAGCCACCACTTCGTGCTTGCTGCAGCACTCACTTGCCTTTTTCTAATGCCATCTCTCCACTTGGCCCTTACCTACACTCTGGACTAGAACATATTGACAGAAGTGTCTTTTTTCTTCCCATTTGTCTCCCTGGGGACTTTCTCTCACTATTAGGTCCTGGCAATAGAGTCTAAGATCAGAAATGGGATTCTGCCCAAGCCGGTGCCATGGCTTGTTTCACGTCCCAGTCACTTTGGTGCCCAGGTCCCGCAGTGGGGATCCTGACTGGATCAAGGGCTGTACCGTGGAGAGTGCTGCCAGGTTTTATGGGACACCAGCTGTACCATTCCCTCGGGGCATGGCGGCTGACTTGGTCCTACCTTAGGCTCACAGGACATCTATTTTCTCACAGAGGATAATGCTACTATTGAAAGGATATAAAGGTGAGAAAAGACACATAAAAAATGGAATAGGCGTAGAACATATGCATTAGTCATCCTTTTAAATGAATAATAAAAAGCATTTTTATGAGATTAAATTCAAGTCTTGTGTAAGTGAAAGAGGGATACTGTATTTGCTTTCTGTAAGATACTGAATTTTATCTAAGCAGCCTTGCATTCTCTAAAAAAACAACACTAAAAAGTTGCACAAATGTTGACATCTCCAAACCTACCTCTCTTAAATTTTTTTAATAATCTGATAGCTCCTTCTTACACACTAGTTTGCTTCATTTTGAAACTACCTGTTGTTTAGCTTTATTTCTATGGTTGTTTTGTTTTATTGTTTTGCCCTTCAAACTGCCCTTCCCTAAAACTTCTAATGATATTTTTTCCACTACAAAGAACTTCAACACTGTTTGGCATTCTGCCTTGTAAAAATAAAGTACAAAACAAAGCACATTAAAATATTAATAGTTTGTTGTCACATTTTTTAAATATTGTACTGTTGGGGATAAAAACAGGCACCAGCATGAATGTAAAGGAGTAATGGTGGAAAGATAAAACAACAACAACTTATCATGCTGAAATAAATCTTTCTTTACTATGGGTTTGGTGAAATCCATTCATATAGACTTAATAATTTCTTTGAAAGAATTTGTGAAATCTCTCCACCTCTCTTTGTTCCCTTAGTCTAAATGTTCCAGTATTTCTCTGGATGTTGTACTTGGGGGATAAAGAATTCCCAGTATATACTCATATCAATAAACATATTGGATGAACTGAATATATTCTGTAATCTGCTTCATACAGCAGTTCTGCTAACAGGATCTCATGGTTTCCTGAGCTTGAAGATATGTGAAGCATCTGGCTTTGCTAAGAAAATGAGGCTAAACTGTAGATCTTTATAAAGCATGAAAGCAGTGTGGTACAGCTCAAGTACTGCCAGGAAAGTAACTCTCTTCCTTAAGATAATCTGTCCCTCTTCACAAAGACCTGGTGTTTGCCACTTAGATAGGGCTTACTAGATATAGGTTGGAGTTTTTCAAGGGGAGAATTCGGTAATTCTACTCTGTGACTGCAAGCTAAGGCAGTTCTCAGGGCCTTGCCCTTTAACTTATCCTAGCTCTATAACAAAATTAAGAGCTGATCTAGCTCAGATCTTTGACAGTAATCATGCGTGAGCAGTTTGGCCAAGAGCTAGTGTTGTACTTACTGCCAGGTCACAGGGAGAGAAATCCTGAGGTCTTTTCATTCCTTACATCTTACCTGTGCAACAGAAAGACAGCTTAGTCAGTGCTGAACAAATGCCATAATCTGACTAAGGGTTTATACACCACAAGGGAAATGTCCTCTTTCAGACACTGTGGTGTTTTGGGGCATTCTTTCAGATAAATAGCTACAGAAGACAGTGGAAACACTGCCACAAATTGGAGGGGTCAGGCCCTGCTCAGGGTCTATCCCCTTGGCATCAACCTTGCAGAAATCCTCTGTGTTGCTCCTACTGGGCCATCAGTAAAGGCACTCTAGGAGAAACCCCTTTGAGCCAGCTCCAGTTATTCAGTTATCCCATCTCTTTTGTGGATCAAAACTAAATTACCTCTTTGCTGCTTTGCTCTTCCCTGGAACTTAAATGTATCAGTTAAAGCAATTATAAGGTTTTGTCAGAGGCATCCCTTTTGTATCAAAACCAGTGTCAAAGATGCCAAGGCAATTCCTCAGCATAGTGGTTGTGGTTTAGAGTGCACCCTTCCAACCAGACAAGTGTCTGCTCTGCCTGAAGTTCAACATGATAAAGAGGTCAGGAATAAGCAATAGTTGCTGTTACTGCAGGGACTGAGCTTAAGTGGGCACATGTTCAACTAGAAACTCACATAAGATTGGAGAAAGTGGCATGAAGCTGCGTCAGAGGAGGTTTAGATTGGATATTAGGAAGTTCCTCACCCAGAGGGTGGTTGGGCACTGGAACAGGATCCCCAGAAGAGTGGTGACAGCATCAGCCTGATAGAGTTCAAGAAGCATTTGGACAAGGTTCTCAGGCACATGGTGGGGTTCCTGAGGATGTCCCGTTCAGGGCCAGGAGCTGAACTTTGATGATCCCTTTGGGTCCCTTCCCATTCAGGATATTCTATGTTTCTGTGATAACCACGGGACTTTCTTGTCACTTTAGCATCTTGCAGATGACCAGTGCTTTCAGAGGGCGGCTCACCGCCCCGGCTCACCTGCCGGGCCGGTTTCTCGTGGCCGCAGCCCGCGGCCCGGGCAGCGCAGGCCGGGCCGGCTCCTCCCTGCTGAGGGCTCCTGCTTGCCAGGTTCCCTGCAGGGCAGCTAAGGACAGCCGGGTACGGTGACTGATTCCGGGAGCAGCAGAGGAGAGGAGAGGCGGGGGAGAGCATCCCCTCTCTGCTGCTGCTGCTGCTGGAGCTGTGCTGGAGCCGGAGCCGTCGATGTGGCTCCCCAGAGTTAGTTGCTCAGCAACCAGAATCAATTAATATGCTTTGCAGAAAGTGCAGGGAAAGCCCGAGCTGCTGTCGGCGAGCAGGCAGGAGGCTGACTCAGGATCCCACTCCTGCCTGACACCCATTTGGTCCCACCCCATCTTCTCCAAACACTGATAACCACCGTTCTTTTTCCCTCTTCGCTTCCCCACGGTACTTAATGCGTGTGTCCCCAAATTCTTCAGGCAAAGTACCTCGTTGCTCAAGAAGCCTCCTGCTTCAAGGCTTTTGCTTTTAGATCTGATTTGTACTTTTTGGTTATTTGTCAGATTTTATTCAACACTTTTCTAGAAATTCTAATATTCATGTTCTTTGGGAAGGGAAAGGGATAGCTGCTTTTTGTCAGATGGTTTTAAAGACGCCTCAGGATGAAAAGGGTTGTTTGGTAGCGCACAGTTGAGCAGCAGCAATGAAAATTCATCATGTGTAAATTGGGAAAGTTTTTGCCTCTTCCTTGGTTGCAAATGATCAGCACTGCATATATGAGACCTAAGAGGTAGTACTGATTGTTGTGAAACACCTAGATAACAATAGAACAAATGCAGGGGTGTTGTGGGATTTTTATATCTTCTCCTTTTCAGTGTAGTAATTTCAGGGCTTTGGTAAGGTATTATTTTCTTTCTTTCTTTCTTTCCTTTATTTTCTTTGGAGTCCCTCTGATGACACCACACATCTGGGAATGAAGAACTTCTTAGAGCTGATTGGAAATGGCATTGCGGAGCTGAAACTTAACTGGAGGAAATATATCTCCTGAAGAAGAAAATATAATGCACTGTAAGGATCTGTCTTCTGGTGAAAAATTCAAGCCTAGAGAAAACTTGTCTGCTTTGTTAGGAAGAATGGGTTGGACAATTTTCTTCAATTCCAAAGGATATCTGAATGCCATGCTGAGCCTAATCTCTGCAGCATGCTCTGTGCTTCTCATCTCTTCCTGATGCACTGCATGGTAAGGCCTTTTTCCTTCCTTTTAATAATAACTATCTTTCTGATGTGGTGATAGATATGACAAAATAGCAATAGTAAATGAAAATTGCAAAGATGTACAAACGTAACAAAAGAATGTTCGCTTGCATGCTTCTTTTCAGGAGCAAGTGTCCTGATTACTGCAGCAGCTTTGTAAGATCATTTCTGTCTTTCTCCCTTGCTTTGTGACAGTGTGTGTGTGCGTGTGTGTGTTTGTGCACACCTGTGCTGTCATTTGCACTTGAACTGGAACATCTGCAGCTGCACTGTACATATTTCCATGCTAAAGAGGATGTTTAGGAATTTGTTTTGACATTTCTCTCTCTTTTTCCCCTCCTCCCTCCATTCCCCTCCTCCTGCCTCCTCCTTCTCTTGCTCTGTTTCTCTGGGGTCGTGGTTCTATACCTTCTCTGCACCTCAGTTGTGCACTGACCACTAGAAGGCAAAAATGGGAGGTGAAACAAATCCCATATCAATGCAAGAATGAGTAATTTTATTTTAGTAAATGAAAGCTACAGAAAGGTTTTGAATGTCTGAAATACTGTCAGGTACAAAAGATTTATTCTATTTTGTTTCCATGGGAAACAACAACCAAGTGCAGACTTGGATGCTGTGTTTTAGAAATAGTGGGAGAGAGATCCTCTTACACAAGTCAGAAAGCTGAAAATGTGAATTATCACCTAGGTCATAAAATAATCAAATCCACTATTGGATGTTTTCACATCAAGTAACTTTTCCTGTGTGTTAGAGAAGTGTTGAGAATTATTATAAATACTTTCAGTGGGCATTGTAAGATATTTTTTCTTAATACCTGTAATGTGTTTTTTTCCTGGATGAAGGGTGCTAGGGGAGTGCAAGGACTACCTGACTTACAAATGCTTAGGGTCATTGTCAAGAAATTGCCTAGCAGATCAGGAATTGCACAATTAATAAACTGAGATACAAGAGCAGATTGCTTTTCCAGGAAGACTGGTTTATTTGGGTCTCTGTTTCAGAAATAAGGGTAGAACTAAAAGGTGGATCATGGCGATGTGAAACATTTGTATTTTCTTACGCATCCTGGTTGATCACTGAGTTTGGAAAGCTGAGTGGTTCTTGAGTAAACTGTGGTAAGGGTCTGCCTCCACTCTGAGGGCAACCCCTTGGAAATATGGCCACTTTTGATGGAGCTGGAAACGGATCAGGAGCAGGTTTGTGTGGAAGCTATCATGGACTGTGCAGCTGGGTATGGAGATGACAGGTTCCTGGAAGCAGGTTTTCAGGACAGGAAGGATAAATAAAGCCAAATCACAAAAGCCAGGCCACAGCAGGACTGAAGAACAAGAATCAGAACTTAAATACCATTCAAAAGATGTAATTTTGTGGTAGCTCCCAATAAATCTCCTACTTGTATGATGGAGGACTCCATAAGGAAGTTTTTAAAGAGAGAATGGTAATGCAACTTCTTCAAATCACTGCAGCGGGAGGAAGCACAGATGAAAAAACACACTGTAGTGTGACAATATTTCAACAGGCTTCAAAAGAATCAGACTTGATTTTAGAAGTAAAGGTTCAAAACACATACACTTGTGCATTGAAGCAGAATTTTTGTGTATTTCACTATCTAAAATGTGTGACTAGTGTAGGAACAAATAAAGCAAAACTAAGGAAGAATAACACAACCCATAAATGTCATCTTCACTGTCAGAAAGAATCTCTTACTTGCAGAATTCATCCCCTCAACTCTCTGTGTGAACAAGGACTGCATCCTAAATTCAAGTTGCCCATTGCAACCTCTCCTCACATCAGCAATTCAATCAGTGGAACAACTTGCATGAATATTATTGTTTAACCCCAGCTGGAAGCTAAACACTCCAGGACTTCTTGCTCACTCCCCCCTGGTGGGATAGGAGAGAGAACTAGAAAAGGAAAAGTGAGAAAACTCATGGGTGAGACAAAGACTCTTTAGTAGGTAAAGCAAAACACACTCAAGCAAAGCAAAACAAAGAATTCATTCACCACTTCCCATGGGCAGGCAGGTGTTCAGTCACCTCTGGGAGAGCCAGGCTCCATTGTGGGTAATGGTTACTTGGGAAGACAAATGGCATAATTTTGAACATTCCTTCTCCCCTTTTCCTTTGTCTTTCCCCTGTTTAATATGCTGTTTTATGTGTTTTATATGACACCATATAGTACAGAGTGTCTCTTGGGTCAGCTGGGGTCAGCTGTGTTCCCTTCCAATTCCTTGTGCAGCCCCAGCCCAATCTCTGGTGGGGTGGGATGAGAGGCAGCAAAGGCCTTTTCACTGTGGAAGCTCTGCTCAACAAGAGCTAAAACATCTCTAAAACATAGCTAAAACATAGCCTCATACCAATTAATAGAAAGAAAACTAACTCCCCTCCAGCTAAACCCAGCATATTCTCTATTCCTTTTTCTACACCATTTACATCATGTTCAGGTACCACACAATCCAATACATCCTCATTAACCAGCCCTCCTTCCTATCTTTATATATAATATGCAGCTATCACTCCCTAAGTCTGTGGAACCCCCTTGTAAAACATCCAGAAATGTCCACAAAATCTATATTGAGTTCATTTAGCCCATGACTTTGGGCTCCATCTCTTACGGTGGTCACTCACAATGGGAGAAGTCAACACTGGCACAGAGAGTAAGAACTACTCATGTGGATAAATTCTAAAAGGTTTTGTAAGACCAGGCTCTTTGATTGTCATGGCAACAGAGTTATAAGGCTTCAGGCAAAATTTGGATTTCCCTTCTAAACAAATTAATTTTTCTTTTTACCTATGCAAATCTTTTGCCTTGTAATTAGAGCAAGAAAAATAGGTTAATTACATTCTTAAAGATCATGCAACTGTACAGATAGATTGTTAGATAAAAATTATCAGAGTAGGCAAAAATTTACCTTTATTAGTGGCCTCCAAAATGAAACAAGGTGTATTCTTATTGGAAACATTCATTGCCTTATTATTTTTCTGACAATATTAACATTGCTACTGGGTATTGTCAGTTTTTCTAGGTACCCATCCTAGGTTCATTTGAAACATCAATGATATTACAAAATACTCTCCATTATAAGGTTCAAGGATACTTACCCAGCTTTTTACTACATTAAATATGTTCTTTTTTTGTTGTTAATACATGATGTTTAGCTCTTTAGTTGATCCAGGAACATTTATCTTTACAGTATAGAAACCAAATATGAAATCATAATTATAGTAAACTTGCTACAGAATATAGGTAGGAAGGATAAAATCATATTGGTTTTATTTCTCTGTGTAATTTTGCATGCTTATAAATGTCTATATTATTAGGATATGTATTACATAACAAGCAATATTTAATTAATTGTCATTTATAAAGAACAGTTCCTTTTTGCATAGGATTTTTATTCCACAAGATTATGGTAGAAAAATAAATATTAAAAAACAAGCATAGCAACTTAATATGCATCCAATACACGAATGCAGTAATAGGTTTATTTATTTATTTTATACCTATAATATACATCATGAGAATAGTGGATTCTTTTCTAAAGAGTGTGTATTTTGAGAGGGGAGGGTTTACATGATATTCTTTAACATACATTACTGCTCATGATTTGCTGTGACTTAAGACATTTTAGTGACATTTTAAATAATTTTAAAACTTGCACAGCAGCTGCATTTGGCTTTCTCTGTCAATTCTAAAGCAAGTAAAATTAGTAATTTCCTTTTCTTTTAAGATGCTTAAAGGTTTGATGCTGAGAACACCTGTATTTTGTTTCAGTCTACTGGACTATTTCCTTAGATAAGCAGTATGAGTTAAAGCTTGAACCATCTGCATTGTCAGGGAAGTTATACTGAGCAGTGGAAATATTTTCCACACCTGCAGCAATTATTTTCAGTCAAGAAAAATGTGGCACATAAGCAGTCCCTCTATTCCTGAAAGCCTTTATTCCAGATCCAGCAGAAACCTGATTTTCGAAAGGCCTGCAAAAAAAACCCAAAACAAATCCAAAATGAAACTTGAAGTTTGGTCATTTAAGTGTAAATGTCTACAGAAAGAATGTTTCTTGGTCAAGTAATTTCTATAGATCAGCATCTGTGTTTTACATAAACCAAGAAAAAAAATTGAAATTTTTACAAAATGAGAAGTTCCAAAAATCAATATGTTTGAAAATGCTGATGTCAAAATGACACAAGATTTCATTCTGACATTTCTAATCAGACTCCCATTTGTTACAAGAAATTGTACTGAATCTGATTATCTGCTTTTCGCAGTGAAATTTTGCAATAGCTTTTTTTGTTGTTTTAACAGGAAAGTGTTTTGTTGTGAATTTTTTTCACTAGATCTCTTATAGCTGTCCCAATTACTCTCTCTCACAAGTTATTCCTTTTACTAGAAGCTTTCTGAAGGGTCATCTTTAGCACTACATAGTGCCTAGCCCCATATTATTGACACTGAGCAGCAGTTCTCACCAGGCCTATGGTAGAACATAATCTCTGATGGTGATTCCCTCCTTTAATTCTTCTTGTGTCTTCAACAAAAGCAGGCCTCTATTTTCCTGAGTTTTGCAGATACCAGAAGTAGTGCTTTTTACTACAAAAGCCTTCAAGAGGCCTTCAAAAGGCATGCAGGAAAGAGTAGAATTAATCTAGTATAAATGTCCTTATTAAATAGATAAGGAAGGGAGCAACAAAGAAACTGCCCAAAGCTATACTGGCAAGGGAAGAGTTCGGAATTGAACCCAAATGTCCTTATTTTCAACTCATCACTGTCCCTGCAAGGTTGGTCTTCATTTTGCTCATTTCTTTGCTTAATGGCTTATATTTGGACTTTTAAGTTAATACTAGCTGAAGTATCAAATGTGAAAGGGAATTACTGATGCATACTTCCTTTCCAGTCTGACACAGTCGTCCTAAAAATTCTTTTTTCCTCTCCTGAGCCATTCTGTTTGGATGTAACCGTTAATTAGGTAATTGCTTTGCTACACAGGGAAAG